ACTCGGGACGGGAGGCACCGCAGGAGATGGGCAGAGCTCCTCAAGTCGGTTGACGACTTTACAGGGCGACTCAGAGCAGACACTGCCCCTTTTCACGGGTTGTTTATCTGCCTGCACAAGGGACTGAGTCAGGATGTGCGGGCGCTGGAGGGGCTGCACACACCCAGCAGAGCAAAGAGCGGCTCTGTCTGTGCGGGACATCGCAGGGACCGGCGCTGCAGGGACCGGAACGCTTTGAAGCAGCTCCAGGGGCGGGGCGGGGGCGAGGAAAGTCGCCGTCCTGCACAGAACACCTTGAGCAAATGAGGAGTTATTCTGGGCTTCAGCAGTGCAAACACCCTCTTAATGCAACCTTGTCTTAGTAAGGAGAGTAAAAATAACAGCAGCAGTGTGGCTGGCTTAGCATGGGCGGCATTTTCCAGTGCCTGGAATGACAGATGCCTCCGCGATACAAGGTGGTGAGTGAAGTGGGCACTAAAGCTGGAAACAAGGGAGGTTTCCTCTTGGTGGGGTGCTGGGACCATGCCCAGAGCTTCCTGGATAGCCCCTGAGGGACAGTCCTGGGAGACAGCCCCAGGGGCAGCCAGGCACTTGTCTGATGCCACTTCTGCCCGAGGTGCCAGAGCAGGGACAGGTACTGTCAGTCGTTCCTGCTCTGTGCTTGGCCAGGAAACCAGACTGAAGGTAATCCCAACAGCCTGCCCAGCACCAGACACCCCAGCTTGCCCAGTCCCACACACCCCACACACCCCTACACCCCTCATGGCAACAAACCGCTCGTGTTTCCAAGCCCAGTGAGAAATGGCCGTTTCCAATTCCTCCACTGCCAGCAGTGCTTTTCTGTTTGTCACACATTAACTCAAGCAAACAACACATCCCGAGCGTGCACCTCCGCTGCAGAGTGCATCCAGAGTTCACACACAGGAGGAAGAGGAGGCTTGTGCAGGCAGAGCTGAGCCCTGCAGCACAAACCCAGACTGGCACTTGTCAGCGCCGGTGGCAGAGGTTCCTGTGCCCAGGAAGCAGCCTTGGGTGCAAGGCCAGCTCGGGGCAGCTGACACCAGCTGTGAGCTCCCATGGCCACCAGCTCTCCCCAGGCATCACAGCAGCCTGGCAGTGGACAGCAATTCCTCTGACACTCAGAGAGAGGAGCAGACCTCACCCCCACTGATCCCTCCCTGCATCCATGGGAACAACTCGACCCAGTGCTGCCCACAAGGACCAAGGGGTCTGGGAAGAGGAAGAGGGTGTCATTTTCGGTGTCTGTTCTCAAATCTGAGCCAGGAGAGCAAGACCCCAGCATGAGAGTGGCACAGTGACAGGACAGCAGTTGTCATGCTGTTCCTGTACAGATCTTTCTGTGGTGAGATGTCACTGCTGTGGTGAGGAGGGCCCTGCAGGCACCGGTTGGGCACTTGGCAGAGGTCCCCCACATCCCCTGCACATCCCCAGCCCATACAAATACATGATAGAGTAGTACATGAATTGTTTCTATTAAAACCAGCTGTCCCAAGCTTTCTCTCAGCAAGGATTTGCTGGTTCTCCTCCCACATCCCTCCCCACCTCCCTTAAGGAAGGTGATGGAGGATGGGACGCTCCCAGCCACGGCTGCATTGTGGGGCAGTGTGTCTGTAAAACCAGCCCTGT